AAAGTAAAAAATGATTTCCAAAATTCTGTTAGTACAGTTTGCATTATATATAAATGTTAGACAACATAATAATGGTAAAAATTTTTCTGTTAGGACATACATTATAAAATCAAATAATAAATGTTCATGAATTATGATAATAAGAGGGTATCATCATATCCAATAATGTAAAAAAAATTCACTTAGAACTTCCAAACCCATGTGGCCAATTGGCTCATGTCCTCCTGCTATTATACATATAAACAGTTTCACTATTAAAAAATGCCTTTATTTAGTCTTTCTCAGGACATATACAGTGGATATTTTTTGAGTGATTTTGGTTCATATGGACACATCAATTACAGCAAGAGAAGCTGAACTTTCTCTGTGCATGTTGTATACACGAGCTGTGAGGTATGTGCATGTGCTAGGTACATGATTGTTCGTATATCAGTTTGCATATGATATGTCTTATTTTATTAACACAAATAATGTTAAGTAATAATTTATAATCTCTCTTCAGCATACCATTGTGGGCCTTGTCCAAAAGGGTGGTTTACATACTCCAACAACTGCTATTACTTTAGTCCTGGAAGGAGAGCTTGACTGCTTGTCACTGTATGAAGTCTCAGCTGCTCTACATAGACACTGAGGAAGAAATGGTAAGACTTTCAGTGTCCCAAACACTTTATTGGAAAATATTCAGGTCACTTTTACATTTATAGAATCCATATGTATTTTTGTTCAAATTTGTGTTTATTTTAACATTTGTATAACTTTCCATTGTCTGACTTTGTGGATTTTAGTAAAATCTTTGACCTGTTAATACACACTTGAAAAATCCAGTTCTTGGTTTACTTAGAGAACCATATTTCTTATATATATATATTATACACATATATGTGTGTGTGTGTATTAAATAAAAATTGCTGTTTAATACACATCAAGAAAGGTGAGCGTATTGTGATTGGGCAGATTAATCACCAGGTGAAAATTGTGTCTGCAGAGCAGATCCTGAGTAGTAGTCCCAACCCCCAGTACACCCCAGACACCCTGTCTGCTCTCTCCTCACTCCTGCTGTCTGGTTATTTAACCACCACTTGACTCTTAATTTCTTAATCTTTTTTCTTGTTTATGAACTGAAATGCTATCATACTGTATATACTTTAGTTCCTGTCTCGTCACTCCCCTATAATTTCCTCAGTAATCGTCTGCATATTGCATTTATCTGCTGTTTGTCAATTTTCACTACAAAATTTTATGATATACCATTTTAAAATCCATTCTGCTTAATGTGTCAGGTGCAGGATGTCAGTGGCATCAGAGATAAAGAAACTTCCTGGGTTAGGTTTTTTCTGTCATAGTGTCCCCCTTTGACTGGTTGGGGACCAGCATCCATGGCTGATCGCTGCCTTTACGGTAGACTCCAATCCATGAGTCTATGGATTTCATAAATTTCGATTCAAACATAAAAAAATTTTCACTTAGGGCCTCCCCCAGTGGTGCAGCAGTTGAGCACTGGGCCGCGAAGCTGCCCGCAGCCTCTGCAGTGCCGGTTCGATCCCTGGCAGCCACCGAGGGTCCCACATGGCGCACAGACCTCTCCTGCCACTCCCGCTGCTCCCCTCAGCAGTGTATTTCGTCACTCTGCCTGTTCTGCTCCCCTCTCTGACTCTGGTGAATTCTCTCACCCTCCCGCACTTCCGACTGTACCCAGTGCTTGTATAAATAAATAAATAAATCTTAAAAAAAAAAAGAAAAGAATTTTCACTTACATAGGATTGATGAAAGGCTTCATTTTTAAAAAAGCACAAGTAATGTGTTCTTTCACAAGATCTACACTTTCAGAAAGGAAAGACAGATTCCAATCTCACACCACATACTCACAGTGTGCTGAAAACTATTGTGCATGATACCACACACTCTCACCAGCACATCATCATTATATAACATGAGCTCCTAAACATTTACACTTAGGAACTTCACTTTTCTTGTTATGTGAACAATGAAAATTCTGGAGTTCTCCAAGCCTCAAAAATTCTGGAGTTCTCCAAGCCTCTTCTGCCCCAAGCCTCCTCCTGTTGTAGGTTGGTGCTGATGGGACACAGGGCTAGGTCAGAATTTTCCTTGTTCACATGAGAAGAGTGAAATTCCTAAGTATAAATGTTTAGGAGCTCATGTTATGCAATGATGATGTGCTGGTGAGAGTTTGTGGCTAAGTACACCTAAGTACACTTAGGTTTTTATCATTCATAACAAATATTCCTATGAAAACACAATAAAAATTAGAGGATGAGTGAATGAATGGTGTAAAATTTCAGTCACTGGAATGATGATATAGTTTAATATTTTTTTTATCAGTGGATATCTAAATAGCTTATTTTCAAAGAACAAAATTGAATGCACAAATTGTTAGACTAGAGAAAAGAGGTTGAGAAGATAAATTTAGGCACTGATCATTGTTATAGTTATAGAAAATTTGAAAATGTAGTGATTTTTTGTAATAATTAGTGATAAACATCGTTAAATACCTATTGGTAATGGAATAATGATATTAATTTTCCCATTATAAATTATATAATAAGGGTATAGGGGAAAACTATATAAAGTCAAGATTTATGAATCTTGCTTTATAGTAGAATTTAAACATCTAAGATAGTCTTAAAAAAGCCTAAGTTTTCAGCATTTATGACTGCTATGGAAACAAATTAAAAACATGTGTGTTTAACTCTTTTGTTCCCTGATATATTTCAGAGGCATTTGAAAGTGGAAAACGTAAAAGACACACTATAAATCCATCCTCTCCTATTGTCTGCAGGTGTGTGATGAGGTGAAGTGTCTTCAAAATAGCCCAAGTGCAACAATTTCCTGTTCAAACTGCAAGTGACGCATTCATGAGAAATCTGCTTTTTCCACTCTTGCTTCACTCTGAAACTTCACAGGGCAGTTCTAAAGAGCACAGATATTGTTTGTGATCTCAGATCAGAACAACAAGTGCTGGTGAGGATGTGGAGAAGAGGGAACCCTCTTGTACTGCTGGTAGGATGCTCTGTGGGCCAGTCCCTGTGAAGATCAGTGTGGAGGTGTCTCCTCCTTCACTCAAGGATGCACAACTTCCTCGCCAACAGAAGGTATGTGTTACTCCTCTCCTCTCTCTCTGCTGGTCCATCTCTTTTAGTAGAAGTTTATGAAGGTTAGATGTGAGGCATTTGATATACAATTCACATGGAATCAAATCAAAGAGAACATCGGTATCTTTATTTGAATAATTCAGGTCAAACACAAGAAGAAAATGAAATATTTTGTGGCTTTCTCAAAATATTTGAATTCTTTCCAGTGGCAAATTACTCAAGTATATAAAATCTGCATAATTGGATTTGTAAATCAATGCCATTTAACTTGAAATTTCACCAGATCATGACGAGAAGAGTTTATTTTTGTAATTCATCATCAATACATATATAATTCTATATATTTTTTGTATTTAGCTCCATCTTTAAAATTAGACCCTTACATGAATTCATTGAATCATGAAGGTCAAAGGTAATTCCTCATTTACATTCTTTGATTTAATATAAAAGGTTTTAATGTTAATAGAAATCAAGATGAGATAGCTTCTATAAAATGCCATTTTGGATTTCAAAGTACACAAAATGCTTAAAAATGAACATGCATTGTTCAAGAAATATCATGCTAATAAAACAAACTCCTTTCTGATGTATTAGGTTACCTGGTATAAATGTTATGAAATAGGAAAAACATGGTGGTTGTATCAAAATAATGATGAAAATAGGGAATGTATTATTGCAGCTGACAAGTCAGGTTGGATATCATGTTTTACATATATTTTATATCTTAAATATTCCTATTGCCATTTTAGATTAGAAAACTAAAACTAATTTGGAAGACTCAATATAACTTTTTATTTTATTTCTCCTTTTTCTTTTTTTACTGAGTTAAAATGAAAATGTGATACTTAGTAAGTATCAAAGTCAGAATTAATTCTAGATCTCACTTATTATAGTGTCTATTTACTGAATTACTGAAATTATGATTTTTTATTTATTTCAATTACTTGCACAACTAAGGCACCATTCATTAACTTGGATAGTTATAGGATCTTTTTGGAAGTTTTAACCAATAATGTTCTGATAATTAATGAACAATAGTGTATTTATCATTTTATGTTTTTTCTCTAGCTATTAAATCAATTACCAATCTCTTGTATTACTCAAAATCATAAATTTTTAAAATATTATTTTTTGTTGTTTTGTTTTCACTGTTGTTTAGGCTTTGGAAGAGCTTAATATGCCATTAACATTAGCAAATATAGAAAATTTCTTTAGATTGTAAAAATTTCTCAGAATATCTCAATAGTGAAAGACATTTTTTTAAAAGAAAATAACTTGAGATAATTGAATAACACCTCATCCCCCTTTAATAAATAAAAGTAATGACCAAATGAAAATAGTGTGGGAAATTCTAACAATATTTCTCCAAATTAAAACATTCAATCTTTCACCATTAGTTTTAAAAATTGATATAAAATGGATGCATCATTTTTTCTGAGGCAAAATTTTCATTTCAATATAGTAACACAAGGTATTAAGATGCTGCCGTGTAATATACCTTAGATTAATAAAGATAATATTGGTCATTGGCATCTCATTTTTGATTATTATTTTTTTTTTGCTTTTCATTTTCCTAACCAGTACTATAGTGTCAGTACAGAATATCTTTTTAAAAACTACTTATTCTGTCATGAAACATATGCTTAAGATTCCTAGGAGTTCATATGTTTTAAATTTTCTCATTGAGGTAAGTTTTGTTTACATCATTGGCTGTATGCTGGAGTGATGGGATCCACCTCTGGTGATACTATCTTAGTGCTCTAGGACTTTAGACCAGACAGTGTGTTGTTCAACTGCAATATGACTCTATCACTCAACTCACGCTCTGCCCACAGTGATCTGGTCCTATGCACCATTTATTAAAGACTGAGAAGCATTTATCAGAGAGTGCAGCAGTTCCTGACTTTACAGAGCAGCAGAGATGAAGGAGCAAAGAGTCACCTATGCAGAGCTGAAGCTGGCAAAGGTCTCAAAGAGGCCGCAAGTGAAACCTAAAGAGAGTAAAAGCTCCACTACTGTAACGGAGCAGGGAGTAACCTATGCAGAATTAAGTCTTCACAATGCTGCTCGGGATCCTCAGGAGAATGGCAAGTCCTGTCACCTCAGAGGTAAAACATTTAGTAGACGCACAGCACAACTCTTCTTGGAGATGCAGAGGGGTGGAGGTGCACAAAGAATGGGGAATAAACTGACATGTTTTTCATTTGTGAGGCTGAGAATTTGGCAATGGAATATGGTATTCTAGTAGGAAACCTGATGGCTATTTTTTTCCAGGTATTGTTTTAATTTATAATTGTTGACAAACAAAAATGCATGGGTGTTTTGTTTACTAAAAAAGCAATGGTATACTCTGGGGGAAGGATTCCAGTGGGAGAAAGACATCTTGGGTCCAAATTTATACATGTGACTCCCTGTTCATGTAGATTTTGTTGTGTGTAAACTGAACAACTGTCTCCACCTCAACGTTTCCGTTTCTCTCCCTGCAGGCTTAGCAGCACCTCCAGAGAAGCGTATTGCTGGGATCTTGGGACTCACCTGCCTTGCCTTGATATGCATTATTGTGCCAGTGTGGATTAATTTACCCGTAGGTAAATTCATGAAAGATTATAATGAAACTTTTCACTTAATGATTGTCAGTGCTTTTAAATAGTTCATAATATTAAGGAATAGAATTATTGTGTTAATGTATCCATTTGAATACATTTAATCTTGAATGTTTAATCTTAACTTCTCAAAAGTACAAATATACAAACTGATTGTTGAGATTTTATGTAGATTCAGATATCATGATTCAAACTCATGCTTTAGGAGACTGAAAGACTTTATTTATTGAAAACTAAGTTATACAAAGAACTCACACGACTCAACAAAAACAAGGTATAAAATGATTTTTTAAATTTGGTGACTACATACACTAAGATGGTGAAATTTGACTCTAAAGTTTTGTGATTTATTCCCCCAAAGCATTATTCATTTTTTAAGATTTATTTATTTATTCATGAACTGGGGTACAGGTCAGAGACATGGGAGGGTGAGAGAATTCACCAGAGACAGAGCAGGGAGCAGAATAGGCAGTGACAAAATACGCTGCTGAGGGGAGCAGAGGGCAAGGCCAGAGCGGTCACTGCACCAAGTGGGTTTCTCCCTGGCTTGCTGGCCAGGAATCGAACACGTGCTGTAGAAGCTGTGGACAGCTTCACAGAGTGGCACGCAACCCGCTGTGCCACTTGGGAGGCCCAAAGCTTTATTATTTTACTAATTTCCTTAGAAAGTCACTTTATTATAGATTATTACTATTACCGTACCAACATACATTTCTGACTTAGAAATATTATTATATTGATTTTTACTTAGAACACTTTTAATTTTCATAATGATTACTTTTTATTTTCTAGCTACTAATCCAGAGCAGAATGATTTCTCGACAGTAACAAACATCGAGAAAGGTACACAATGAATTCAGAAATTCTGATGTTAGTACAGTTTGCATGATATACATATGTTAGACTAGCTAAAAATGATAACACATTTTTCTGGTAAAACATACATTATATAATAAAATAAAAATAAGTTTGTGAATAATGATAATAGGAGGGGTTCATCCTATCCAATAACAGGAAAAAATTTCACTAGAACCCCCCCACACATGTGGCCAAATGGCTCATGTCCTGCTGCTATTATAGATATAAATAATTTTGCTATTTTAAAAAATGACATTATTTACTAAAGTCAGGACATTTGCGTGGATATTTGGTGTGAGTTTGGTTCATATGGGCACATAAATTATAGTCTGAGAAGCTGCCCCTTTTCCTGTGAATGTGTATTGTATGCAGCAGCTGTGAGGTGTGTGCCTGTGTAATGTACATGTAGGTTCATATCTCGGCATGTATATGATATGTCTTATTTTAGTAATGCAAATAGTTTTAGTTAATAATTCACAATCATCCTTCAGCATGTCATTGTGGCCCTTGTCCAAGGGAGTGGATTATGTACTCCAACAGCTGCTATTACTTTGGTGCTGAAAAAAAAACCTGGAAGGAGAGCGTGACGGCCTGTCAGAGTAACAACTCTCAGCTGCTCTACATAGACACTGAGGAAGAACTGGTAAGAATTTCAGTGTCCCAGCCATATTATTGAAGACTCATCCAGTCTATTTTATATTTAGAGAATTCATATATATTATTGTACAAAGTTGTAGTTCATTTATAGTTTGTATAACATTCCATTGTCTGATTTTGAGGATTTTACTAAAATTTTTCCCCATTAGTGCACACTTGAGAAACCCAGTTCTTGGCTTTCATAGAGAATCATATTTCATATATGTATATGAAACCATATTTCATATCTAAAAAATAAAAATTGCTGTTTAATAAACATCAAGAAAGGGCAGCATATTGTGATTGGGCAGATTAATCACCAAGTGAATGAAAATTCTATCTGCAGAGCAGATCCTGAGTAGAAGTCCCAGCCCCCAGTGCAGCCCAGCCACCCTGTCTGCTCTCTCTTCACTCTTGCTGTCTGGTTATCGACCCACTGACTTGACTTTTCTTTTCATAGATCTTTTTTCTCGTTTATGAACTGAAATGCAGTCAAATGGTAGATACTTTTGTTCCTGTCTTGTCACTCCCATATAATTCTTCAGTAATTCATCTATATTATTGCATTTGTCTGCTGTTTGCCAATTTTCACTTGCAGAATTTTATGATATAACATTTTAAAATCCATTCTGTTTAATGTGTCAGGTGTGATGTCAGTGTCATCAGAGATAAAGAAACTTCCTCTGTTGGGTATTTTCAGCCTTAGGGTCACCTTAGTTGTCCCAACTCCACCTTCCCAGCCCTGCTCATGTGTGCTTCGTGGTGAGAGGTGAAGCATGTCCTGGCTACTGAGTGTTGTCACTGTCCTGAGGCATGGCCCTTGTCAGGCTGCCCTGTTGTTGCTGCACAGGTCCCCTCACCTCAGAGAAGGAATGGCTGCCCCAAGCCTCCTACTGTTGTAGGTTGGTGCTGACAGGCCACAGGCCTAGTTCAGTATTTTCCTTGTTTACATGACAAGAAGAGTGAAGTTCCTAAGTATAGATATTCAGGATTTTGGGGCATCCCTGTGGCTCAAGTGATTAAGCACAGCACCATGAAGCAATCCATAACCTTTCCCACATGAGTTCAATCCTCAGCTGGCCAGGGAGCTACCCACATGGTGCAACAAACCTCTCCTGTCTCGCCTGCTGCTCCCCTCAGCAGTGCATTTCAATTGATCTGCCTGTCCTGTTCCCCGCACCGTCTCTGGTGAATCCTCTCACTCCCCACATCTCTGCCTGTGCCCCAGCTCTTGCATGAATAAATAAATAAATCGTCAAAAAATAAAGAAAAAAATAAAAAAATATTTAGGAGCTCATGTTATGTAATTAAGATGTGCTGGTGAGAATTGGTGGCACTATGTACCCTTGTTCTCAGCACACTCTATGTGGTCTGAGATTGGAGTCTGGCTCTTCCTTCTGAAAATATGGGCTCTTATGAAAAAACTCATTACTTTTTTTTTTAAAGAAGCCATTCATCATTCCTATGTAAGTGAAAATTCTTTATGTTTGAATAGAAATTGATGAACTCCATATCAGTTGCGTCATGGATTGGAGTCCACCGTAATGATAGTGATCAGCCATGGAAGCTCTTAAATGGGTCAACTTCCCAGCTAAAGTAAGTTGTATTTAAATAATGTTATAGTAGCATTGAAAAATGCTATTGTTTCTTGGTTTGCCCCAACATTATAGAACATAAGAGAAGAAAGGTATGAAAAGGAATATAAGAAGAATGATATTGATGCTTTTGATTTAAATTATGGACATGAAGAATGGTGTTGAATATTAGTGTCATCTTGATAGATATTGAAGAAAGGACAGCTCAGTTTGTCTAACTCCCAACTCTGACAATATTCAATGAAAATTGTCTTCATCCATATGCTTCTATTGTAATTCAATGAAATGCTGTTGTTTCTTGGTTTGTCCTCATGTTATATAACAACAGAATTATGTGTTTTTCTTTATTACAGAATAAGAGAAGCAGAACTTCCTAATGATAGGTTAACAAGTCACTGTGTTATGCTACAGTCTGAGTATTATGCAGAGAAATGTGAAGCTCCAAATATGTATTATTGCAAGCATAAGCCTTAAAATTAAAAAAAAAAAACCTAAATTTGGATTTTCTGAGTAACTTTCCATTTCAAGAAAAAAAGTCTTCTTAGTGATTTCGTGTTTTGTTCTAATGACATTTTTCCAAGATAATTATTGAAATACACTATGTTCAGCAAAAAAGTATAGATATCATTAATATTTGTCTGAAATTTTTTGCTCTACATTTCACTTGTGGCGTTCAACCATCAAAAAGATCATTTGTTGTGTGAATCCATTTGTAAGTAACAGCAAAATCATAGGCAAAGAAAGTGGACTGGTCTTGCCAGAGACTGAGGGGAGGTGGGAAGAGGAACTGCCCACTGATTGGTACTCTGTTTCTTTTTGAAATGATGGAATATTTTCAGTGCTAAAAGTAGTGACGTTTGCAAACTCTGAATATGCTAAATGTCTTTGGTTTATTCACTTCACATGGCTGAATTTTATGCTTTTTCACTTATATCTCAATAAAGCTGTTTTTAAAAAATTCTGTGATGACGTTTGAGAACATTTAATCTTTAAAGTAATTTGGAGTTTAGTCATCTTTACCATATTTAGTTTTTGAGTCTATATCAACCTTAATCCTTCCTTAAATTTGTTTTTTTTTTTCTCATTATGCTATGTATTTATATAGAAGACATAGGGAAATGGTGTTATGCTTTAATGGTACTTCTTACTGGTACTTTTTAATGGTATTTTTTAATGACATTTTATTTAAAAGTGTGTGAAATGTGTGTTTGCAATTTTCAGTGCTGTAAAAAGTAATAAAACTGAAGTTGGCTTATTGATTTTCATGCAATATTTTGCAAACTTTACATGTTAATTCTGTCAATCTAATATATGAATCTAATATAATATATGAATACATGAATGATGAATTTTGATATAATAGGGATGCAATTGTAAATAATCAGAAGTTGTTTCTTCTCTCCAAGTGCAATTATTTTTTTAATTGGCTTATTACAGACCAGAGCTTTATATTCAATATTGAATAAAAGTTACGGTGAATGATTTCTATGTATTCCCAATTTAGGGAAAAAGATTTCAATAATCATTCTGAAATATGAGCTTTAGTGTAACTTTCTCATCATCACTCTCAAATTAATGTCATTTCATCACATTGTTATTTTTGTAATGGTTTTATAAGTTTAATGTTTTATTTTTATTCATTTTGCATCAATTGGAATGAGAAATGTTTTATTTGTAAAATGTTTATGAAGTAAATTATCTTAATTTCCCTCAAATATGAGATCAACTTGCATTTTTGCAATAAAACTATAGCAATCATTCTGTGGGTTTTTTATCCAGGTATACATTTTATTTAGATCAGCACATTTGTCTTTCTTATTCACAAAAAGATTAGACTGTTTTAATTCACAGCTACCCATTTGACAGGTCTTGAATCAAGGCTACTGTAAAAAGGATTCTTGTTTTTCTTCTAGCTTGAAGCCTTTCTGTAAGAGCACTGTGGAACTTAGTGTTATTTCATGGTGATACCATCTGAGCATGTAAACCTGTTTTGGGGGGGGTTGTGAGAACTCAATGGCTGTAACACATGTGACGTTACTTCAGGTAGAACTATTTGCTGTACAGCTTTTGGTGAGTTCCAGTTTCAACAAATTTTCTATTTTGTGTAGACATTAAAATGTATTCGTAATAATGGCTTATTTTCTGGTGCACCTATTACAAACCATAATGTTTTTTCATGTGGAAATAGATACAATAGACTTAGGTTCTCAGCTTAAGTTTACAGTGAGGATACACGTGCTTTGTTCATGCTCTTTAACAATTTTGCTCTTTGTCATTTGTTTGTGCTATTTATTGTTTTCTTCCTTCTATTATTGTATACTAATTTCATTTAATTTGGACTTTTCCTTTTTTCAGTTTCTTTGATGTGTGCTCAGATTTCTGCCTTTTCCTTTTTCAGCAATATGTGTATTTAAGACATTTGATTTCAAAAGATAGAATATTGCTTTCATATTTCCTTCTAATTCATATGATACTGTGAACATACATTCTGATCATTTCTTTGACTCATAAAATAGACACATCACGGAAACATAATCATGTAGGGATTTCCTTTTTATGGTTACTGTTGTACAAGGAAGAGCACAGTGCAGGATCTCTATGATTCTATGCAGATGGGTGAAGGAGTGTTCCTGGAGCCCTCACTTGCTTTTTTAGGCTTTTATTGTGATTTACCAGGCATATGGCAGCCAGGGGTGACAGCTTGCTTGCCTCCCAGCCCTCCGCAAGTCTTCAGTCTTTCTGGGCTCTCCGGAGTTCTGTCGTTGCCTTGTTCTTTCTCTTCTCGTGGTTCTGCTGTTCCGCTTCTGGTCTGGTCTGGTCTACTGGCTTCCTGGTGATGCCGCCTTTATAGGCCCAGTCTCTCAGCCCAGGTGTACCCACCATGATTGCCCACACCCTACTCCAGGTGTCCACCGTCAGGCATGCATTCAAGACTGCAGGATTCACCATTAATCCTAATGGCAGGAGGGCAGAAAATCCTGACACTTTTTCACTTACCCTATAGTTACTACTTCTATTTTAGGCGAACTTTGTTAGAAGCTGGAAATGTAACATTTCTGTAAATAATGGCTAGTGTGACTGATAAATCAATTAGAGTATTAAAAACCTACTCTTTGAAAAAGAAAAATACCGGATGATCTCACTCATAGCAGGAATCTAGAAAACTTAAATAAGGGACCAGGAAACTGAATAACTATAAGAAAGTGAAAATCAAAATTAACAAACAGCTATGAACCAGAGACACTCTAGGGGAGGTGGGGGGTGGGGAGGGGAGGGATTGGGGTCAAAATAAGGGTGTTGCAATTGTATGGAGAATATAAAAATAAAATTTATTATAAAAAAAAGATAATCAAAGGGAGCTATAGGCCAGAAGGTTAAGTTAATTCAGATGTCACACTACAGAAAGGCTAATAAAAGTGAGAGTGCAAAAAATAAATAAACAAATAAATGAAAACCTACTTTTTCTGTCTGCCAATTTTTTGTTTAAGTGATATTTAAAAAATTAACTCTTTGTCCCCTGAATGTTTAGACTTGGATTTTTGTCATACTAACAACAAGTATTCCTATTAAGTAGAGATGTTTTGTAAATAATCACTTGTTGATTATGTTATGATTAGGGGGTGAATCAATGAAAAGCATAATGAAAAATTAATATTTCAATCATGGGAGGTGATATAATTCAATAAATTTGAAAGCTTTATCATGCCATATGACAATTTTTATCAGTGGAAATTTAAACAACTCTTCAGAAATTAAAAAAAAAATAACTGAATGCAGAGAGATAGAGAAGAAAAGCATGAGAACTGATAATAATAAAGTTGAAAATTGAAGTCTTTAGAATAACTTGTGGCATATTATTTAGTATATATTGCTGAGGGATTTATGGTTTTAGAAATGTGTACCATTAAAACAGAAATGAATATGAAAGTATGAGAAAAAGATATCTAATGCCAAGATACAACAACCTTGTGTAACAGTAAAACATCTATTATATTCTTCACTAGACTTAAGTTTTCAGGGTTTGTGGTTGAGATGGAAGCTTTTAACAGCTAATTATGGTTAAGTCCTTTGTCTCCTGATATCTTTTAGAATAGGAACACAATTTCTTAGAGGCATTTGTCAATGGACAAACTAAATGACACACTACAAGTTCAGTCTCCTCTGCTCTGGAGGTGTGTGACGAGAAACTGCCTTCACAATAGCTAGGCTTTCCTGTTCAAGGTTTAAGTGACACTTTGACAAGAAATCTACTTTTTCCAGTGTGGCTTCACTCTGCAGGTTCACAGGAGAGTGTATGTAAACCACAGATACTGTTTGTTTGTTTCCAAGAATAACCAGGTCTCTTACTAGAGGATACGCCACTCTTTGGGCAAGAGAAGGTATGTGTTCCTCCTCTACTGTCTCTCTACCAGCTCATCTCATTGATCACACATGCTGTATATGATGCAACAATTGCTGTGCAATCAAATTATAGAGAACATTCATATCTTTATTGAGTAATTCAGGTTGGAAAATAATCATAAATATGAAACATATTAGAGGTTATCTTAAATATTCAAGTACTTTACTGTATTACTCAATTGCATATATACAAAGATAATTTGATTTTTTAATCAATACAATTTTATCTGATCCCATAAGCATCATGACATGGATAATTTATTTTGGAATTTGCAATCAGTACAGTTATACTTCTATATATTTTTGTTGTTTAGCCCAGGTATTAAACATAGTTTTTTAAAACTAATTCATCTAATCAAAAAGCTCAAATGTAATTCCTTGTATACTTTCTTAATCTTAATAAAACCAATTTAATTGTTCATATGAATGAGGATGGCATAGTGCATAAAATTCTAACTTACTTGTAAACTATCAAAACATTGTTTAATGTCTCTAAACATTACCAAGAAGATACACAACACTGATAAAAGAGACTCCTGTCTAAGGAACTACGTTGTATGGTCTAATGTAATGGATATGAATCAGAAATAACTACATTATTGTCTGAAAAGAATAATTAAACTTACTGACTTTTCATTGAGAGCTTCTAAACGGCAGGTTGAATGTTAGGTGTTTTATAGGTGTTATATCTTATGTTTTTATTCCAGTTTTAGATTGTAAGCAAAATTGGTAGACACTATGTAAATATTGTAGTTTTTAAAGCCAGAATTAATTTTAGATTCCTCTCTGGAGAGCTCTTTCATCAATTATCAAATTGCATTGTTGATTTATTGTAATTATCAATAAAATGAGAATCGCTCTGGAAGTTTGAACCAACAGTATTGCCCCCTAAATGATTTTTAGTTTATCATTTTATACAGTTTCATCTTTTTCATTCTTCATTTACCAACTTCTTTTCTAAAATAAATGTCATATCCAAATCTTTATCCTATCAATATTGTTTAGGATTTCGAGAAGCTAATGTATCACATATTATTTTCTATACAGTAAATATTCTTCAAAATTTCAATTTCTTAAAACTACAATATTTTAGAAATCATCATTTTTTTAACCTCTCATACCTTTTTAATAATAAATTAATAAATGTTAGTTACTTTATACAAGTAATTTAGATCAGGAAATTAATACATATTATAACACAACTATTACAAACGATGACTATTCAGTCTTTAATTATGAATAGATAAAAAATATAAAAGTTAAGATATCATTTTTTCTAATTTAGCACTTTCAGACAGTTTTTCTAAATGTTTCAAAATGTTTGTTGGGTAGCTGACTTTAAATTTGTGTGGATGTTATTATTTGTGAACATTATGCCATTGATATTTGGTCTTCTATTCCTCCAACCATTAGAATTGTGTGAAAAATAAAACAGCACTTTTATAATTAATTTATATTTCACAACATATTTTTAAGTTCTAAGGAAATTTTAATCTGAATTGTCCATTATTCAACTGCACATGAATGTATTACTCTACATGCTCCACCCACATGACTACACTAGAGATCTGGTCATCAAGGGCAGCATTTAGTAAGGACTTGCCTGCAGCTATAGCAGACACTGTCCCTGACACTACTCAGCTGCAAGGATGAATGACCAAATAGAGAACTCTCCAGAAGTGAATCTGGACCCAAGAGGACAGGAAATTAAAGGTAATGGCACATAAAGTTCCTCTTCATCAACAGAATAGCAAATAACCTCTGTGGAATGACATCTTCAAAATACTTCTCAGGGCCTTTAAGGGAATAACAAGTACTACACATGCAAAGATAAAGTAATAGACACATGTGTAACTGCTCTGGGCTGTATGATTGAGGTGCTGTTGTGCGAAAAGAGTAGGGAATAAGCTTACATAGTTTTTGTGAGAGCATCGAAGCTTAAAATATGAATATGTCATTCTAATCTGAAATGTGAGGACAAATGTAGTTCCTGCATTGTTGGATGATGAGGTCTTTGACAGCAACTCATGGAACATTATGTTTACTAAAATCACAGCATATATTCTGGAGGCAAGATTACAGCTGGTATGTGGATTTGTGATCCAACCTTCTATATGTGACCTCTTGCACAGGTGGGTTCTCGTGTCTGTAAACTGTCAACATTTGTCTCCACTTTTTGTCCGTGTTTCCATTTCTCTCCCTGCAGACCCACCTTTACCTCCAGGGCAGATTACTGCTGAGGTCCTGGGGATCATCTGCCTGGTCTTGGTGTCCACGGTAATAAAAACCATAGTCCTTACTCCCGGTAAGGAAATTTTCAAAGATTGTAAAGGACAAAGTATACACTTGATCGTTACCAGTGCTCTAAATAGTTTGGGTATTAAGGAGAAAACTCATTTTAATGTATGGTTTCAATTAAGTTTTGAATGGTTGTTTTGAATTTGTCAAAAGTGTTTATATGCAGAATGATAATGGGGAGTATTTTATAGATTCAAATATCATGATTCAATGACATGCTTTAGGAAACTGAAAGACCCAGTTGAGAATTATGAATTTATTTTTGAGAATTGGTAACACATACTGTAGGAGATGATGAAATTTGACCCTAAATTTTTGTGTAATTTTCCCCCAAAGCCATGTTATTGTACTAATTTCTTTGGAAAGTCAACTTTATTATACATTATTATTATCACCCTACCAACATAGATTTCTAACTTAGAAATATTATTATATTGATTTTTACTTAGAACACTTTTAATTTTCATAATGATTATTTTTTATTTTCTAGTTACTATAAATCCAGAGCAGAATGATTTCTTGCCAGTAACAAACATCGAGAAAGGTACACAATAAATTCAGAAATTCTGATGTTAGTAAAGTTTGCATGATATACATTTGTTAGACTAGCTAAAAATGATAACACATTTTCTGGTAAAACATACATTATATAATAAAATAAAAAAAATGTTTTTGAATAATGATAATAGGAAGGGGTCATCATATCCAACAACAGGAAAAAATTCACTTAGAACCCCCACACCATGTGGCCAATTGACTCATGTCCTGCTGCTATTATATGTATAAATAATTTTGCTATTTTAAAAAATGACATTATTTACTAAAGTCAGGACATTTGTGTGGATACTCTGTGTGAGTTTGATTCATATGGGCAAAGAAATTATAGTATGAGAAGCTGCCCCTTTTCCTGTGAATGTGTGTTGTATGCACGAGCCGTGAGGTGTGTGCCTGTGCTATGTACATGTAGGTTCATATCTCGGCATGTATATGATATGTCTTATTTTAGTAATGCAAATAGTTTTAGTTAGTAATTCACAATCTTCCTTCAGCATGTCATTGTGGCCCTTGTCCAAATGAATGGATTATGTACTCCAACAGCTGCTATTACTTTGGTGCTGAAAAAAAAACCTGGAAGGAGAGCGTGAAGGCCTGTCAGAATAACAACTCTCAGCTGCTCTACATAGACACTGAGGAAGAACTGGTAAGAATTTCAGTGTTCCAGCCATATTATTGAAGACTTATTCCAGTTTATTTTATATTTATAGAATTAATATATATTATTGTACAAAGTTTGAGTTCATTTATAGTTTGCGTAACATTCCATTATCTGATTTTGAGGATTTTACTAAAATTTTTTACCCGTTAGTGCACACTTGAGAAACCCAGTTCTTGGCTTTCATAGAGAATAATATTTCATATATATATATGAAGCCATATTTCATATATAAAAATAAAAATTGCTGTTTAATAAACATCAAGAAAGGGCAGCATATTGTGATCTGGCAGATTAATCACCAAGTGAATGAAAATTGTATCTGCAGAGCAGATCCTGAGTAGAAGTCCCAGCCCCCAGTGCAGCCCAGCCACCCTGTCTGCTCTCTCCTCACTCCTGCTGTCTGGTTGTTGAAACACTGACTTGACTTTTAATTTTATAGATCTTTTTTCCCCTTTATGAAATGAAATGCAGTCATATGGTATATAATTTTGTTCCTGTCTTGTCACTCCCCTATAAATCCTCAGTAATTCATCTACATTATTGCATTTAACTGCTGTTTGTCAATTTTCACTTGCAGAATTTTATGATATAACATTTTAAAATCCATTCTGTTTAATGTGTCAGGTGTGGGATGTCAGTGTCATCAGAGATAAAGAAACTTCCTCTGTTCGTATTTTCAGCCTCTGGGTCCCCTTAGTTGTCACATCTCCACCTTCCCAGCCCTGCTCATGTGTGCTTCGTGGTGAGAGGGGAAGCATATCCCAGCTACTGAGTGTTGTCACTGTCCTGAGGCATGGCCCTTGTCAGGTTGCCCTGATGTTGCTGTACAGGACCCCTCACCTCAGGGGAGGAATGGCTGCCCCAAGCCTCCTACTATTGTAGGTTGGTGGTGAGAGGCCACAGGCCTAGGTCCGTATTTTCCTTGTTCACATGACAAGAAGAGTGAAGTTCCTAAGTATAAATGTTCAGGAGCTCAGGGCATCCCTGTGGCTCAAGTGATTAAGCACAGCACTATGAAGCAATTCGCAACCTTTGCCACATGAGTTCAATCTCCAGCTGGCCAGAGAGCTACCCACATGGCACTGCAGACCTCTCTTGTCTTGCCCATTGCTCCCCTCAGCAGTGTATTTCAGTCAATGTCTGTCCTGTTCCCCACTCTGTTTCTGGTGAATCCTCTCACTCCCCGTATCTCTGCCTGTGCCCAAGCTCTTGCATGGATAAATAAATAAATCTTTACAAAAATAAAAAAAAATAAAAATTGAAAAAAATTTTAGGAGCTCATGTTATGTAATTAAGATGTGCTGGTGAGAATTTGTGGCACTATGTATACTTGTTCTCAGCACACTCTATGTGGTCTGAGATTGGAGTCTGGCTCTTCCTTCTGAAAATATGGGCTCTTATGAAAAAACTCATTACTTGTGTTTTTTTTTTTTTTAAAGAAGCCATTCATCATTCCTATGTAAGTGAAAATTCTTTATGTTTGAATAGAAATTGATGAACTCCATATCAGTTGCGTCATGGATTGGAGTCTACCGTAATGATAGTGATCAGCCATGGATGCTCTTAAATGGGTCAACTTCCCAGCTAAAGTAAGTTTTATTTAAATAATGTTATAGTAGCATTGAAAAATGCTATTGTTTCTTGGTTTGCCCCAACATTGTAGAACTTAAGAGAAGAAAGGTATGAAAAGGAATATAAGAAGAATGATATTGATGCTTTTGATTTAAATTATGGACATGAAGAATGGTGTTGAATATTAGTGTCATCTTGATAGATATTGAAGAAAGGACAGCTCAGTTTGTCTAACTCCCAACTCTGACAATATTCAATGAAAATTGTCTTCATCCATATGCTTCTATTGCAATTCAATGAAATGCTGTTGTTTCTTGGTTTGTCCTCATGTTATATAACTACAGAATTATGTGTTTTTCTTTATTACAGAATAAGAGAAGCAGAACTTCCTAATGATAGGTTAACAAGTCACTGTGTTATGCTACAGTCTGAGTATTATGCAAAGAAGTGTGAAGCTCCAAATATGTATTATTGCAAGCATAAGCCTTAAATTAAAAAAAAAAAACCTGAATTTGTTTTTTTTGTGTAACTTTCCATTTCAAGAAAAAAGTCTTCTTAGTGATTTTGTGTTTTGTTCTAATGACATTTTTCCAAGATAATTATTGAAATACACTATGTTCAGCAAAATGTATAGATATCATTAATATTTGTCTGAAATTTTTTGCACTACATTTCACCTGTGGCGTTCAACCATCAAAAAGATCATTTGTTGTGTGAATCTATTTGTAAGTAATGGTAAAATCATAGGCAAAGAAAGTGGACTGGTCTTGCCAGAGACTGAGGTGAGGTGAGAAGAGGAACTGCCCACTGATTTGTTCTCTGTTTCTTTTTGTAATGATGGAACATTTTCAGTGCTAAAAGTAGTCATGTTTGCAAACTCTGAATATGCTAAATGTCTTTGGTTTATTCACTTCACATGCTGAATTTTATGCTTTTTAACTTATATCTCAATAAAGCTGTTTTTTAAAAATTCTGTGATGATTTGAGAGCATTTAATCTTTAAAGTAATTTGGAGTTTAGTCATCTTTACCATATTTAGTTTTTCAGTCTATATCAACCTTAATCCTTCCTTAAATTTTTTTTTTTCTCATTATGCTTTGTATTTTTATAGAAGACATAGGGAAATGGTGTTATGCTTTAATGGTACTTTTTTTTTAAAGATTTTTTTTTTTTTTGAAGATTTATTTATTTATTTATACAAGCACTGGGTACAGTCAGAAGCGCAGGAGGGTGAGAGAATTCACCAGAGCCAGAGCGGGGAGCAGAGCAGGCAGAAGGACCGAAGTACACTGCTGAGGGGAGCAGCGGGCGGCAGGAGAGGTCTGCGTGCCATGTGGGACCCTCGTCTGGTGGCCGGGGAACAGCCGGGGATCGAACCGGTGCTGCAGAGGCTGCGGGCAGCCTCGCAACCCAGTGCTCAACCGCTGCGCCATCTGGGAGGCCCTTTAATGGTACTTTTTAATGGTACTTTATAATGGTATTTTTTAATGGCACTTTATTTAAAAATGTGTGAAATGTGTGTTAGCGATTTTCAGTGCTGTAAAAAGTAATAAAACTGAAGTTGGCTTATTGATTTTTATGCAATGTTTTTGCTAACTTTACTTATTAATTCTGACAATCTAGTATATGAATGATGAATTTTGATATAATAGTTATGCAATTGTAAATAATCAGAAGTTGTTTCTTCTCTCCAAGTGCAATTATTTTTTTTTAATTGGCTTATTACAGACCAGAGCTTTATATTCAATATTGAATAAAAGTTACCGTGATTGAATTCTATGTATTCCCAATTTAGGGAAAAATATTTCAATAATCATTCTGAAATATGAGCTTTAGTGTAGCTTTTCACCATACTCTCAAATTAGTGTCATTTCATCACGTTGTTATTTTTGTAATGGTTTTATAATTTTAATGTTTTATTTTTATTCATTTTGCATCAATTGGAATGAGAAATGTTTTATTTGTAAAATGTTTATGAAGTAAATTATCTTTATTTCCTTCAAATATGAGATCAACTTGCATTTTTGCAATAAAACTATAGCAATCATTCTGTGTGTTTTTTATCCATGTATACATTTTATTTAGATCAGCACATTTGTCTTTATTATTCACAAAAAGATTAGACTGTGTTTTAATTCACAGCTACCCATTTGACAGGTCTTGAATCAAGGCTACTGTAAAAAGGATTCTTGTTTTTCTTCTAGCTTGAAGGTTTTCTG